TCAGGCTCGAGTTAAATTTGAATCGTTTAAATCAAGAGCAAAGTATTCGATCATGTCTTGCCAAGCATTCACATCAAGCTCGAACAGATTGTAGGATTCGATTCAGCGCATCAATTGATTGTATTCGATTTCTCCTACGTCAGGGCATGGCGTTTCGTGGACATGATGAATCTACACTCTCGAACAATCGGGGAAATTTTCTTGAACTATTGCATTGGTTGTGTGATCATAACCATGAGATTAGGGATGTTGCTTTAACGAATGCTCCTGAAAATCTCAAGTTAACATCACCACGTGTGCAAAAGGATATTGTTAGTGCGATTGCTTCTGAATGTCTAGACGTGATCATGAAAGATGTTCATAATAATTTCTTTTCAATCTTGGTTGATGAATGTCGAGACATTTCAGTAAAGGAGCAAATGTCGGTTGTGATTCATTACGTGAAGGATGGTCATGTTTTTGAACATTTTGTTAGTGTCCATCATATTTCCAATACCACTGCTCTCTCACTTAAGGCAACAATTGACCAATTATTCTCAACTCATAGCTTGAGCATATCTAGTTTGAGAGGTCAAGGGTACGACGGAGCTAGTAACATGCGAGGTGAGTACAATGGCCTAAAAGCACTTATTTTGAAAGAGAACCCCAGTGCCTATTATATTCATTGTTTTGCGCATCAGTTGCAATTAGCTCTTGTAGCTGCAGCCCAGAAACATCCAAAAATTGTAACTTTTTTCACAGCAGTACTCAAATTGGTTAATGTTGTTGGTGGATCGGTTAAACGAGCCGACCTTATTCGAGAGAGCCAAAGGCTGAAAGTTCTTGAATCACTCAGTGTTGGTGAATTATCAACTGGTCGAGGTCTTAATCAAAAAACATCTCTTCGGCGTCCAGGTGATACGCGTTGGGGCTCTCACTACAATTGTTTGATTAACTTGATTATCATGTTTTCGACCATAGTTGAAGTAGTTGAACTGATTGCTACGGAAACCACAAGCGCCGGAACTAGAGGTTACGCTTGTATCTTATTTGAGTTGATGCTAAAATTTGAAATCTCATGAATTTTTTTTGGGAAATTTAAATGAATTGTCAAAAGCATTACAACGGAAAGATCAAGACATTGTTAATGCCATGAGATTGGTGCATTTGTGTAAAGTTTAGCTCCAAATGATGAAAAATGATGGATGAGATTCTTTTTTTGGAACTGTTTGTTCATTTTGTGAAGCTCATGAGATTATTGTCCCCAGTATGGATGAAAAGTTCATAACTCTTGGTCGTTCACGGCGTGAGACAGTAACAAATTTGCATCATTATCTTGTGGAATTGTTTTATGCTGTCATTGATATGCAACTTCAAGAGCTGAATGATCGTTTTTCTGAGGTAAATAGCGACTTGCTAATTTGTGTCGCATGCTTGTCTCCAAATAGCTCGTTTGATTCTTTTGACAAGGATAAGCTTCTTCGACTATGTGAGTATTATCCACTTGATTTTGATGCGATGGACATCTCTAAACTTGATGATCAATTTGACACGTATATTCTTGATATGCGCACCTCTGAAGAATTTAAAGGATTACAAGGCATTAGTGATCTAGCAGAAAAACTCGTTGAGACTAAAAAGCATCATGTGTACCCATAGTCTACAAGCTTCTCACATTTGCTTTAGTTCTTCTTGTGGCGACCGCTACTGTCGAGAGATCATTTTCTGGCATGGCTTATGTAAAAAATCGTTTGCGCAACCAGATTGGGGATCAATGGTTGAGTGATTGTCTGATTGCATATATTGAGAAAGATGTATTTGATAAGATTGAAAATGATGTAATGATTGAACGCTATCAGAATATGAGAACACGTAGAGAACAATTGTATTGTGACGTTTGTCATTTTTTTGGTTCTCTTATGAATTATGTTGGGCCCCCATACTTTTAAATGTCTGCGTCCGCCACTGGCGCCACCGCTCAACTCCGGCGACTTTCATTCGCGACCAACTCTACCTTCCACCAACCTGAACAAGAAGCTCTTGTTGCAATTGGAGCAGACGGTCAGCGAGACTCTCTCTGAGTGCGTGCAATTGGCCGGAGAACCGCGTCCGGAGGAGATGCAGCCCTTCTCGATCCCCTGCAAACCTAAAATTGAGTTGGGCATTGTTGTTTTGGAAATTAGAAAAGGTTCAAGGACCTAAATGCAATTTTACATTAAATACCCAAAAAGAACTTTAATTAAGTTCTGAAAAAAATAGGGTGCATGTCTATGGTGCTTTTCATATGCTGGTTCCGCAAGAGTTGATAGAGTTCCCAAAAAGCACTTCAATTCATATTTTGGTGCTTCAAGGAGTTGATTTTTTTTTTTATTTTTTTTTATTTTTTTTATTTTTCACAAAGCTGTGCTTCAAGTAGTTGATTTTTTTTGTTTTTTTTTAACAAAGCTCGAAAAATAATCTTGATAATTTACAATTGGATATGAAACAAAGGGTCCCCACCTCCATAATTCCTCATTCATGCCATGCGTAATTTATTAAAAAGAATTAATTGCATTTTTAGTCAATATTAAATTATTTATGTTGTGGATCTATATTATAATTGAAAAAAAAAGATCTATATTATAATTATAAGTATTATTGTGGGCCCACATATTTTCACACCTAGATTTGATGAATAGTGCGAAAATTTTAAACTATGTATTCTCATATAGGATTTTTTACCTTAAAATGAAAATACGCTTAATTAATGTGATCAAATGATAATTTACAGTAATGCACTTTATATATCAATACGTTGCACTTTATAAAACAACACGTTGCACTTTATATATATCTACTTAATACTTTAATATTCATCACATCACCTATTCACAAAAAAATACAAACATGTTAACGTACCAAGATTTCAATATTGCACTTTATGTATTAATACGTTGCACTTTATAACATAACATGATGCACCTTATAAAACGACACCTACAAAAATTACAGTAATTATGCTAATTGATCAAATAATATTAGCTGGTTAAGATAGAATTTAGTTTTTTTAAATAAACAAAATAACCGAACATGCCGAACTATAAGAAAAATATTACCGATTTGTTTATTTATATTTTTGTATGAAAATTAATAATAATTTTATAGTTATATTTTTTCTGTATTGTGAGTGCACACTAGTATGTGTGCAATTTTAATGGGAGATGGGATTTTTTTAATGGGAGTTTGATAATCTCAAAGGACTTGATTGCAATTTTAAGGATTTTTATTTTATTTCAGTTTAGCATATGGGGCCAAATATGTAATTTGTGAAAACTGTATATCCGGCAGTTATCATCTCCTACAGCAGTATATCCGGCAATGAGTTTTTTAATATATTATAAAATTATCAAAAATATTTAATAAAAATATTAAGTGAAATATTAGTTTTATAAATTTTTTATTATTATATAATATAAAATTATAATAATAAACAGTATTGTAGAAATAATAAATAATAAATTATTATTTTATAAAATATTATAATAATCAATAATATTTATTATTTATTTTATAAAATATTATAATAATCAATAATAAATTATACTTTTTATAAAATAAATAACAATAATTTTTTATAATATTAAAATTATTAATATAATAAATATATTTTAATCATAATACATAGTAAATTATTTCAATTATATAGGTTGATCGATTACAATTATATCTACTGAATCTAGTATTAAAAAACTCATAATTTATATGTTATCATATAAAGTAGTGCACTTTATATATCAATACGATACACTTTGTAAAACAACACGTTGCACTTTATAAAACAACTCGTTGCACTTTATCACCACACTTCACATTTAATGCCAATACTATAAAAATATTAAATATAAACGTTGAAAAATAAATATAATTTTATAACATAAATAGTAAATCATATATATTACTTAGATTAATTCGGTTAATAGATCGAATAAATCGACCAATTAAATCGGATTTAGTTTGGTGTGGATCATACTATTACTGCAATCGGATGCACATTATTGATATACTAATTGCACTGTACCCACTATCGGATTGCACACTTTGATTCGATTATTTGTTTATACTTTCAAATAATGATTATTTCGAGTTCGATGTCGGCTTCACTTAAAAAAAAACATACATAACCGAACAATATGTAAAATATTATTATTATTTTTTTAAATGGTTATGTGGCGGACCGGTGGTGGTGTTTTGCGAGCAGATTCCAACGTGAAGCTCGGTCGCTTGTTAATGGCGGACGTCTCCCGTGACCGTGACGGACGTTAGCGGCGGCGTTGCTGTGGCAGGTGGCTGACGGCGGCGCGACGGTCGGTCGTAGATGTTTGTGGCCAGATCTAGTGCGTGTGTGTGTGAGACTGTGAGTGTGTGCGACTGTGAGTATGTGTTTTTTATGTGTATTTGTGTGTGAGAGAGAAAGTGGCGTGTGTGCGTGTGTATTTCGTGTGTACGTGTGACAGATATGAGGTGGGATGGGTTGAGGTCCACACTAGATTATAGGTAATTATATGCAATTAGTAAAATACCCTTAATAAGTGTCAAATACTAAATTATCCTTAATGAGTTTGACTATAATTATTAATTTTGACTTTATCATGACAATTGAGATGTTGGATCTAATGGTCTACAATCATTCTTATTTCTTTCACTATGTCTCATTCTCATATGATCCCTTCTCTCTCTCTCTCTCTCTCTCTCTCTCTCTCTCTCCGCACTCCGGTGAGTATGGTGCTCTATGAGAGAAATAAGAATAAATTTTAGCCCTTAGATCATATGATCCAATGACTAAAAAAATGCCAATTTTTACACTCATTAAGGGTATGTAGTAATATTATAAACATACACAATAGTGGGACCCACACCACAATCAATAATATGTCACCTCCTCACACACGCTACCACATACAAAGCCTGTCATCCAACCCACACCCTCTCTCTCTCTCTCTCTCTCTCACACACACACACACACACACACACACACAATCGAGATGCACGCACACAGACATTCTCACACGGCGAAGCACCGCCGCTTACCTCCCTCACCGGCGCCACACATACGTCATCAGCTCCATGACCGTCGGGGACCCGAGATTTCCGGCGACACTGATAGAAGGAGGACCGTCGTCCAAGGCCGTCGGAGTACACTGATGGGACGGCGCCTCCGTACAAGCCGTTCTTCCCGTCGCCGTCCGGTTATGCCAACCATTTCGCCGCCTCCGACGACGCCTCGACTGTGCGCCTTCGTAAATGTCGTTCTTCCCATTGTCGTCGATTTACGTCAGGCCCCCCCGGCGCCGACGGGCGCCTCGACTGTGCGCCTCCGCACACGTCGTTCCTCCCATCACCGTCCACTCACGTCAGCCATTCTGCCGCCTTCGACAACACCGTGCAGCCGCACCAGCCCGCCGCCGTCCATTTCAGCCATTCTCACCGACAGCTTAGCTGGAACAAAGCCATGGACTTTCGAGGACAAGCTCGTATCTGGAAGAGCGCGGTGTCAGGCGAGATTACTGGCCGGGCTAAGGTTGTGCCGCCGCCGTCTGCGGAGGCCGCAGAGTGGCTGAGAAGGGTGCTGTGCGGCTAATGGAGTGGGGGAAGTTTGGGCTTTGGTTTGAAAATTTGATGTTGTTTAGGGGCAAAGATGCAATTTTAAAAAAAAATTATTAATTACAATTTAGTCCATAGGCAAATATGTAATTTATTAAAATTATAACAAATATTATGTTATATAGTTTTTATCATTTATATTAAATCATTAAACAACAATAAAAAATAATATAAAAATAACATAAAATAATAAATATAAAATTTTGAATTAATAAATAAATTTTATAATATAAATAATAAATTATTTTAATTATTTGGGTAAATTCAATCAAATCTCATCAAATTTAGTTTAGATATTTGCACATAAAAAGAATACACAATGATGTTAACAATATGCATATTAGTACCTATTATACTGCACAATAATGTTATGCCTAATGCACATTAACACGATAGGGGATGCACATCATCATAACAGATTGTAATTTTTACGAATATTAGATTTTTTGCGTTCATTCGGTACGATATTGTCTTTAATTACAAACAGGAAAAAAATTTTACAACATAACAAACACAACTATTAAAAAATATTATTTTTATTGTATGTATATGTATATTATTTGTTTTCACCAACAAATAATATAAAAATATTAAATAAAAATTTATAAGTACTAAATATATTTTTATTATATAATTTGACAAGTGAAAAAATAAGGTTCGGTAAACTGCATAATAATGTTAAACAAAATGCACATTATTATTTATGTGAATGCACAATATCTATTTTGGAAATTTCGTGTAATATGATTTTTAACCAAAAATAATATAAATATATTAAATAAAATTATTAATACGCTAAATATGTTTTCAGTATAAATAATAAAATATTTTGAGTATTTAAGGTAATTAAATTAATCGACCAAGTAAATTAAGTAATTCAGTTCAATTTCAATTTGTTTTGGGAGACAATTTCAGTATGTTCAGTTTTCACGATATTGACCGAAGAAATGCACAATAGTGTTAAACAATTTGAACAATAATGTTTTATGGACTTCACAATAGTGTCCGAAACTGACAAATCTAAAATTTTAGTTCAAATCGTTATATGACGGATCGTTTTTCTGATTTTAGGTTTAAAATTTTGGATATGCCGGTTTAATGCCGACTTTTAGTTCAATTTATTTTTGATTTGACAAAATATTTTGGTCGGATTGATTTTTAATGTGTGTCTCATCGATCAATATTGTGCATCTAATGTAATATTATTGTGCATTTTTTTTATTTTCACTAAACTATAAAAAATTACCCAATTATTAAAGTGAAAAATATATTAAAGGTCAAAAAATTGCATATGAATCCCCTATCTATATCAAATTTTAAAAAAAAAACACCCCAAATCCAACAAATTTTAACAGAACAACAAATCTCCTACATCAACCGCCACCATCCCGTCCTACAGCCGCCGCCTCTACAGCCACTGTCGCAACATCCTCTCTGCAATTCTCTGTGCGCCACCTCAGCTGCCGTCGCGTCGCCTCGCCCGTCAGCCATCTCGTCTCCGTCACCGTCGCATCGCGCCGCCTCCTTCTGCATCTCCTTCGTCAGAATCGCCACAGTCCGCTGCGGCGTCGCACAGCCTCGGTCTGCCGCCTCGCTGTATCGCCGTCGTTTGTATCTCCTCCGTCTGATGCTGCATCGCCTTGCCTTCGACCACTGCCACCGCATCGCCTCACATCCGACCACCATCGATCTCCGACCGCTGCTGCGACTCATCGCCTCCACCCGCCACCGTGACGCCTTGCCTGCATCCGTCGTCTCTTTGACCGGTTAAACGGAATAAGAATGCGGCAGAGTTGCGGCGATTATTGTGGCGGCGATAGGAGGTCCGGACAGTGCATGAAATGTATGTGTGGGTTGGATCTGAAATGTGTGTGTGTGTGTGTGCACCAGATCTGTAGTGTGTGTGTGTGTGTGGGTGGGTGGGGGAAGGTAAGTGACGGGTAGGTAGGAAATGAGTTCAATGTGATAGGTGGCGGGTACCACATGTTCGTGTATTTATACCAAATGCCTAAATTACACTTAATTATTGGTCAAATCTGTTATTTGACCATGATATGTTTATTTATTTACTATATTCCCATTAATGATTGACTTGATTATGACAATTGATGTGATGTATACAATGGTCTAGATTCATTCTCATTTCTTTCATTGTGTTCCTTTCTCATTTGAGCGCACTTCTATATATATATATATATATATATATATATAAAGGTTTGTATTTACTTGATATAGTAACTAAATTTCTGCCTAAAATTTAGTATTTCTTTGAAATTTTTTAAAAAGTGGCGGTCAATTTTTTGAAATTCAAATAAAAAAGGCCTAATTGCTGGAAAAAGCACGACCTTACAACTTGTTGCTGTTTTAACCAAACTTTTGGAATTTAGCACAAAAAACCTAACCTTGTCCAATGTTTGCAACCCGAACCCAGAATGAAACGACCGTCTCATTTTTGCCACCGTGTCCGTTAGCTTTACCTACGTGGCCAAACGTGCTGCTGATGTGGTAAACCACTAAAAACCAGTATAAATACACGCATTTTCCCCTAATGATCGATGGTTTCCCATTTTCTTGACTTTCAGACTTCGAAATTTTTTTTTTCTCTCTTTGAAAACATTGTGGTCCCATTGTTGGCAAAGCTCACAATCTTATCGTCGATACGCACAAATTGCGGTCCCATTGAAGCGATTATGACCGACAGGTATGCCAATCCTTCATTTTTTTAATTTGTTACCGAAATTTTGAAATTCAAAGTCGTCGGTCGAATTCGAAATTTTCTGGGAACATTTTGTTTGTTTGTGAATTTTTAATCCAGTGTTAATTTTATATTAAGTACTGATCCATTTGTTAAATATGATTGGGAATTTTGACCTAGGGTTTTGAAATTAGGGTTTTATTTTTAAATTAGGGTTTATCAAGATTAGGGTTTCGAACAATTTCGAATTGGTTACAGTTTATATTGTACATTCATTTTGAAATTAGGGTTTTGAACAATTTCGAATTGCTTACAGTTTTTTGTTATTGTAAATTCATATTTAAATTATGGTTATGACAGAATTAAGGTTATGTTAGAATTGGGGCTAATTATAAAATTGTTATTGATGTATTTTCTATGTTTAATTAATTGCAGAGACAAATTTGCATTGATTGTCAATATTGGAGGTTATTTTGTGAACTGTGGACCTATTGTAGGAGTATATATGTGGTAGTTTAAAGAGTATTTATGGGTTAGATGCTTATAGATTTGGCTACTTTGACGTACAAGAAGAAATTAAGAAGTTGGGAGTTAACAACTATGAAAAAATTGTGTATAGAATACCTGGTGCTGGTGTTGGAGCTGATAGTTTGAGAGATGTAACTGATGATAAAGGGGTTATGGAGATTATTAGTTGTGGTAAGAATAAGAGAACTATAGTTCAGATTTATGTGGTTGGTGGTGACATTAATGACGATAAAGCAGATGAGAATACTGAGGCATCATTTCACACAAAATCTTCTAGCCAGCAAGATACTGATGATATGGAAGAGGCGAATGGTTTGAGTCAAGCTGAGGCATCATTTCACACACAAGCTAGCCAGCAAGATATTGATGATAGAGAAGAGGTGAATGGTTTGAGTCAGGCTAAGGCATCAATTGAGGAAGAGCCTGTAGACCAGTTGGAAGATATTAATGATATTATTGACAACTTCACTTCTGTTGAACATGGTGAAGGTGATGCAGAAACTAATAGTGCATGTGCTGGGTTGGGGTCACAAGAGTCATCTGATGATGAAGATTATTTTCCAACTGGGGTGAGTTCATCAGATGATGACTTGTCTGATGATCATGTAACGCCCCAAAACAGTAATAATATTCAGAACGGTTTCACTGCTCGACTATAAGTGAAATCCGTAAATTTCAGAAACTTTCGAGTTATATTATTTATGCTAAATGCTCAAACATGATAAATTATTCTTTGAATAATTCTATCTCAAGTATAAGTTAAGGTTAATCCATTAATTTGGGTTAGTAAATAATAGCAAGTCAATTCGAGAAATTACCGGACACGAACCCTAGTTGTCGTTCCGAGTATATTTTCCTAAATCAAAAATTGAGAGTTGATATTTTAATACTTAGAATATTTTTCTAAGTGTGTTAGAATACCAAAGTCGAGCTTTGGACATTTTATATTGAGCCCTAGTGCTCACCCGAGCCGCCCGTGCCGAGCCCCGCACCCGCGCCTCGTGCCGTGCCAAGCACGTGCCTACCGAGCCCATGGCTTGTCCTAAGCCTTGGCATAAGTTGGTAAAATAATTCTAAGTGTTCTTGGACCCTTGGAGAGCCTTAGGACTCGGCCCAAGACCACCACACGCGAGCAGCCGTTTTTCCCGCGCGCAGCCCGCTACCCGCGCAGCCCAGCAGCCTCTCGCGCCCAGGGCCCAGTGCCGCGCCCGGGGCCAGCGCCCAGGCCCAGCGCTGGCAGCGTGGCAGCCCAATATTTTGAGCCCATTTCATATGTTTTCGGCCCAAATCCTCCATGACCCAACTCATGCGGTTATTAAGGACTTAATAAGGGTTAGATTAAGCTAATTTGGCCCTAAGCATTGTTAAGGGAAAGTCAACACATCATTTGCCAAAGTGAAGCATGTGCACACATTAGTTTATTCAAGTATTTTTGTCCTTGTCCCCCATGCAACCTCCAAACCTGACCTGACCTCTCCACTATGATATTATACTCTGAAAATGGTCTCTAAGACCGTGCAATATCAGCCCAAGGCCATGCCCCATCACCCCTCTCAAGTTCCCATGCAAATGGAGTGGAATAAGACCACTTATCATGTCCCCTTTGACCCAACCTTGTTAAATCCGCCCAAACCTCTTTATAAACAGCCTTCTTCAGTCCATTTGAGACTCTTAGACATTCTGAGACTTGAGAGCTCGAGCACTTTGAGAGAAAACAAGAGAAAAGAACCAAGAGCCCTTACCTTGCACCACCGCACGCGCCTAGCCCGGGGAAGGAGGAGCAGCGAGGTTCAGCCACTTGCAGCCATATTCTCTCGAGGCTTAGCATATTCTAAGTGTTACTTAGATTTTTCTAAGTCTTTTAGAAGGGATAGGCTCGAGAGAATCACACCACAAGACCACCATTAGCACCAAAGCCGTGCATAACCACATTTCGAGCCCTAGTTCATTATCTCCATTTCTAACCGAGGTAAGCTCGGGATTTTTATGTTCATTAATTATTTTATGATATTTTAAGATTTTTCATGAAGAGAAACCGAGCCATGCATGTCATTATATATGATTTACGAATTTTTGAATTAAATGGCCTTAAAAATAAAATTTTAGTTGCATGCATGCCAAAGTCGAAAATGTTGGTTAAATCACCCTTAAATATCATACCATTGATGCTGTAAAAATTTGAGAATAAATGGAGTTCATTGCCTTGGTCAATTCATTCATGAAAATACGCTATTTTGGCCACCCGAGGCCCATCCTCATGCATGCATGGTATGACCCAAGTGTTAGCCATTATAGTCATCATTTGTGATGTATATCATTCGGCCCTGAGTAGTTTTGTAAGTTATGAATGTTGGTTCGGAGGCCAAGTTGCTCGTACGTGCCATTTAGGCCCTCCCGAGTATCATGCATGTGGACCCGGGGTCCACTAGTGTTTTATGTGATATTTATGCTTATTTTACCATATCATGATGTTTGGAGTTGCATGTCACCGGAAATGTTGCCGGAGGTCCGGCAAGGGCCGGCCTTGGTCACTGCCCGCGCACATAGCGCGCCAGTGCCCGGCCCAGTGCCAGTCCGTGCCCGCGCCAGCGTGCGCGAGGCACCAGTGTCCGCGACAGCGCGCCCGCAGTGCCTGTCCGCGTCGTACCCGGGGTCGTGGCGCCCGTCGCGCCCAAGCAACCCCGACAGCGCCTGGCCGCGCTGTCCCAGCCTCAGTGCACGCATGGCCTCGCGTGTCATGCGTAGCCGACCTCGGGTCGTGCCAGTGCCACGCCCGAGCACGCAGTTGGCCCGGGATGTGCCCAGCAGCACACCCGCGTGCCCAGGGACGCCCGGCAGCGTCCGTGCCAAGCCCAGCGCACGAGGTCTCGTGCCAGAGCCTCGTGCCAGGTCCAGGGCTGATCCAAGCCGGGTCAGCTGAGCCAGTCGGTCTCGGTGCATGTCCCAGCAGCATGCCCGAGTGCCCAGTGTCCTCGGGACGGCCCGGCAGCGCCCTAGGGGCCTCTGTCCGCGCCTTCCCCGTGCCAGCCGCGTCTGGCCAGTGCCTGTCCGTGCCCAGCCGCACGACAGCGCCTCAGTCGAGCCTCGGCCGTGCCCAGCACGCACCCGAGGGGCACCAGTCGTGCCCGGGCCGTGCCAGCAGCCCCTGGCCGTGCCCACCAGCGCCAGTCCGCGCCAAGACATGTCCAGCGGCCCCAGGGACCGAGCCCGGTCGCACCAGCCGTGCCCAGCGCCGTGCCCGGGCACCAGCTGGCCCGGCACGGGACCGAGCCCGGTCTAGCCGAACCCAGCCCGACCGCCCGGCCCAGTCGAGCCGGCGGTCCGGCCAGCCAGCGAACCGGCCGGTTCGAGTCAGTTTTGATTCGTGATTTCTGATCCGCGTCCAGTTCTGAAAATTTCAGTATTTTACTGAGCCAATTCAGTCCAGTTTAATCGCGTAGATAAGTCCGAGCATTTTAGCATATAATTAAATATTCTGAGCATTATACTTAGCATTATTTTGCTTAAATATTTATGTAGCCTAAGGAGAGTCGAGCCTCCGACCGCTACTCCAGCATCCGCACTTGCATACCAGATTTCAAGTTTTTCAGGTGGGGGTCATGTACTGGATGTCACATCATAGATAATATCTGTACCATGGCAGAGGTATGTTTGAGACAGTTTAGTTCCGGGTTGGGTGGCCGAGGCCTTTATACCCACCTGATGACCGTTGGGAGGGGCGAGGCCCTTTCTACCCCATCGGCGTGTGCACACGAGCGGCTACGGCCGAGGGTCTTTTGACCACAGATCAGAACAGACATCAGAGATCAGTTTACAGTTTCAGCTCTTATATATTTATGTTTCATGATACGTTATTATAGATGATGTTTTGTTCAGTACTGGTCTTTGCGGAGCATAGTGGTTTGCTCACGCCCCCATTGTGTTTTTCAGGAGACGGAGTCGAGCGTGCCGGATGAGCACAGATGTGGCGCAGCGTGGTCATGAGAGTCGGACATATTTTACCAGCATTTTTATGTCCTAGATTTATGATCATGTGTATTTTATTCAGTTTATGTACGCATGTTATGTATTCGTATTTCGGATGCTTCCGCCAGCGAGTTCTTCTAGACAGTACGAGATAGTACAGACTATGCATGTATAATTCCATAATCCGCGAGCGGACAGTTTGGTTGCATGTTTTATTATGTCTGTGGGCAAGCCCAAGTTTCAGTTTACATTTTTATCTGCCACATCCCGCATATAAGTCAGTATTTTCGAAAACCCAGCTCGCACGTTCTTTCGAAAATAAAAACAAAAATTTTACTCTGATTTTCAAAGCTAGTAATAAGGCGGGGTGTGACAGAAGGTGGTATCAGAGCGCAGATTTGCGTTTCTGCATACTTTCAAAGTTTAGAAAAGCATGACCACGCCACGCTCATCCGCGCCGACTCCGAGGTAAGTCACCTGACTCAGTTTAAGTTTTGCAAGTGCTAAATTCAGTTCAAATATGGGGCCTAGATAAGTATCCTCCTATAAGAAAAGAAAGAACTCTAGATGGAGAACTCTAGAAAGATAAGCAAATGACAAGAACTCTAGACAGAACTCTAGAACAGCTAAGTCCAAGGACTCTAGACTAAGTCAGAACTCTATTACGGGCCAGAACACCGAAAGTTTAAGTATACCGGAGCTCTAGCCAAGCTAGGTGTTTTTGGATATTATTTCCTTATTATTTCAAAAGTAGTATGGCTATTTCTTAATCGGCTATACTAATCAATTCAAGCGTTTCCCGAATTTCAGAATGGCACCGCGTAGAGATCCCCAGGCACCAGTTGAGCAGGATCAGGCTGTTGTGGTCAGCCGATTCCGTACGTATGATCCGCCCCGTTTCACTGGGGAGAGTGGCCCGTTAGCCGTGGCCGAGTGGATCCGGAAGATGGATAGGATCTTCCGTATTATGGGGATTTCTGAGGCACACAAGATGGCGTGCGCTGAACTGCAGATAGAGGGAGCCGCCGGAGATTGGTGGGAGGATTACTGGCGTTTACGCACCGAGGATGAGCGTGACGCTATGAGATGGGCTCAGTTTAAGACGATGCTGGAGGACAAGTTCTATCCTCGCCATTTCAAGCAGAGGATGGCACGGGAGTTTGCCGCTCTCCAGCAGGGTGAGCGTTCAGTGGACGAGTACGAGCGCGAGTTTGCTCGTAAGAGTGCCTTTGCTTCGCATCTTATTGATACGGAGGAGAAGAAGGCGGCACAATTCCTCGATGGTTTGAGGAGCAACATCAGACTCTTGATCACCAGCAATGGCTTCCTTGACTACGCCGAGACTGTTGAGCGTGCTCAGCAGATCAAGGCGTGCATTCTGAGAGACACTCGTGCCCAGCCACCAGCCGGACAGCCAGCCGCTATTCCGCCACCCCAGCCAGCTCAGCAGACGAACAAGAGAAAGTGGGACGGTCGCAAGGACAAGAGGAACCGCAGACAGAGAGGCCCAGCTCAGGGAGGCCAGCCAGCCCGACAGGACCTGCCGGCATGTGCTACCTGCGGATGTCCGCACCGCGGGGAGTGTCTTGCCGGGCAGGAT